TCTCATAGTGCGGTGGGCCAGTAAAAACCTTAGCAAAAGGCTTCGGCTCGTGTGATGTCCGTAGATCCCGGCATGGACCTCGAGGAGGAGCTGCTTCCCCTAGTTGGTAGAGATGCACTTCATGAGCACCCCCGATGGACTCCGTTTGTAGAGTTTGTCACTGAGTGCGATGAAGGTCTTGGCACATCGAGCGATCTGTCGGGCTTCAGTTCTTTCGAGTGGGAGAAGCTCCTCGAGGAGGTAGGCGAGTAGCGGCGTTCGCCTGTCGGTTTGATCGAGTGCCAACACGGCGACGTCGGCGGGTGATGTCGTCATGGAGGCGCTGGGGTTAGAGCCCCGAATGACGACTTAGCGTTGGGGTGTGTCTGGATTGGACCTTCCACAACAGCGGGCGGACGACTCATGCAGATCGTTGATGAAGATCCCGCTCGGAGATGGATCCTGCCTGGCGGCCAATTTTGTGAGAAAATCGGTGGCATCGTTGTCCTTTTGGGGGACGTGATGCAGCTCAATCCCCTAGAATTTATCCTCGAGCTTGCGCACCTCCTGGCAGTATGCTGCCATGAGGGGGCTTTTGTAGGAGGACTCCTTCATGACTTGGTCAACGACCAACTCCGAGTCGCCGCGGACGTAGAGTCGCGTAGCGCCAAGCTCAATGGCGATGTGCAGCCCGTTGATGAGGGCCTCGTATTCCATAGCGTTGTTTGAGGCTGAGAAATGGAGGCGGATGGTGTAGCGAAGCCTACTCCCATCCGGGGAGATCAGAACCACTCTAGCCCCCAAGCCGAGCGCTATTATGGACCCGTCGAAGTACATTGTCCAGTACTCGTGGGTGACGTCCAGGGTCGGTAGCTGCACCTCCGTCCATTCGGTGACAAAATCCATGAGAGCCTAAGATTTAATAGCGGTACGGGGGATATACCTGATGTCGTGGCCCATGAGTTCGAGTGCCCACTTGGAGTTCTCTCCCACGGCATCGCGTTTGCGGATGATGTCCCCGAGCGGGTATGAAGTGATGACTGTGACTTCATAGTCGGTGAAGTAGTGCAGGAGCTTCTGGGTCACCATCAGCACGGTGTATAGGAGTTTCTGCACCTGGGGGTACTGGACCTTGGGGTCAGTGAGTACCTCCCCGATGAACTATACAGGCCGCTGGACCTTAAGGTGGTGTCCCGGCTCCTCCCTTTCGAGGACCAGGGCGGCGCTCACTACATGGTTGCTTGCCACGACGTAGAGGAGGAGGGGTTCTCCCCGTTCGGGAGCGACAAGGATTGGGGCCGACGTCAGGGATGCTTTCAGGCTTTCTAGAGCCTGCTGAGCTTCCTCAGTCCTGACAAAGGCGTCTGTCTTTTTGCGGAGCTTGTAGAGCGACATCCCCCATTCGCCGAACCAGGAGATGAATCGGCTCAGGGCAGCCAGACAGCCGGTGAGCCTTTGCACGCCCTTGACGTTGCGTATAGGGCCCATGTTGGAGATAACCGTGATCTTTTCGGGGTTGGCCTCGATGCCGCGCTCGGACATAATGTATCCTAGCAGCTTCCCCTTTGGAACCCCGAAAATACATTTCTCAGGATTCAATCTGATGTTGAACCTTCAGAGGTTCGCGAACGTTGCGGCCAAGTTTGTGATCAGGTCGCAAGCTTGAGCCGTTTTGACCACTATGTCATCAACATAGATGGTGATTGTTGGTTTCGACCGCTCAGCTTGATCAGGCTGGTCGAGCGGGTCGATTTGGTCGACGAAGCATTGCTGCATGCACCTTTGGTAGGTGGCGCCAGTGTTCTTCAGGCCGAAAGGCATGGTTACATAGCAGTACGAACCATACGGGGTGATGAACGAGATTACGAGTGGATCGGACTCTTTCATCGTGATCTAGTGATAGCCTGAGTAGGCATCCAGAAAGGAGAGGATCTCGCAACCCGAGTTGGAGTTGACTATCTGGTCTATGCACGGCAAAGGAAAGTGATCCTTTGAACATGCTTTGTTGAGGCCAGTATAATCAACGCACATTCTCTATTTCCAGATCTTCTTTTTAACAAGAACGGGATTGGTAAGCCAGTCGGAGTGGAATACCTCTCTGATGAATCCGGCTGCTAGGAGTTTGGTGATCTCTTCGCCTATGGCCCTACGCCTCTCGTGGTCAAAGCGGCGCAAGCGTTGCTTAGCGGGCTTCGAGCCTAGGATAAGGCGCAGTGCGTGCTCGGCGACGTCCAGCGGTATGCCTGGCATGTCAGATGGCTTCCATGCGAAGACATCATGATTGGCGTGCAGGAAGTCGATGAGCACGCATTCCTATTTGGTCGAGAGCTGGGTCCCGATCCGCACCGTCTTGGTTGGGTCAGTGGGGTCGATCCCCACCACCTTGGTTTCCTCGAGTGGACAAAAGGCCGTCGAGGAGGTTGGTTTGTTGCAGTCCGGACTGCTGGGGTCGACGACTCCCCGAGCTATGGGAGCTCGGACGAGTTGATGACTGCGGTGGCGAGCTCGAAATGCTCGCGGTCGCACGTGAAGGCATGCGAGAAGGCGCTGCCCACGGTGATGACACCGTTTGGTCTCGGCATCTTCAGCTTGAGGTAGGTGTAGTTGGGGATCGCCATGAATTTGGCGTAGCATGGCCCCCAAGATAGCATGGTAGGACCTTAGGAAGTCCACCACTTCGAAGGTGAGGACCTTTGAGCAGAAGTTGGCTCGGTTACCAAACGTGACGGGCAGGTCGATCTGCTCGAGCGGGTATGCCTGCACTCCCAGGATCACCCCGTGGAAGGGAGAGCCCGCTAGGCGAAGTTCCATCCGAGGGATGCACATGGCGTCAAGGGTGTCGACGTAGAGGATGTTGAGGCCGCTGCGTCGGTCCATCAGCACCTTGGTGAGGCACTTCTTGAGGACGATGGGGTCGACGACAAGCGGGTAGCGTCTCGGTCTCACGACGTGGGAGGGATGGTCTCTTTGATCGAAGGTGATCGAAGATTCCGACCAGCTAAGGAAGGAGGGGACGGCCGTCTCGGTAGTGCATGCCTCCCTGTAGCGTACCTTGTGCTAGCGCTTGGAGCAAATGGCATCGGATCCGCCGAAGATCATGATGCATTCCTCGAGGTCGGGGAAGCCATCCCCGTCCTTGCCCGTCGCGCCTCCTTTCTTGGTTGCCGCCTCTTTGCCGTCTCCTTCTTCTTTCAGCCCGCCAGCCTGTCACAGGAAATGTTTGAGGACCTTGCAGTCCTTGTAGAGGTGTTTGATGGGGTAGGTGTGGTTGGTGCATGGGTTATCCATGAGCTTGTTGAAGTGGTCAGGCAGGCCCTGCTGGAGCTGCTTGCTGCGCGATCCGCTGCGGCGACCAACGCGGTGTTGTTCGGTCGGCGCCGATCATTTTTGTTCTTCTTGCCCCTCTATGTGGAGGGGCCTCATCTTGGTCCGCGCGTTTGGCCTTGTCTTTGTCCCGGCCTCCGTTGAAGACCGCTTCGACCGCCTCCTCACCAGAGGCGTGGTTAGTGGCGACGTCGAGCAGGTCGCGGGTGGTACGGGGTTTCAGGCAGCCAAGCTTGTGCATCAGGGACTCGCAGGTCGTCCTGGAGAGAAATGCGCTGATGACGTCCGCGTCGACGACATCAAAGAGGGAGTTGCATCGTTGGGACAACCTGCGGATGTAATCCCGGAGGGACTCGTTGGGCTCCTGCTGGCAGCTCTTGAGGTCCTAGGAGTTACCAGGGCGGACATACGTCCCCTGGAAATTTCTGACGAAGACCCTCTTGAGGTTCGCCCAGTCGCGGATGCTGTCGTGTGGGAGGAATTCAAGCCACGCCCGAACGTGTTCCCCCACGCAGATGGAGAGATATTGAATGATAAAATGGTCATCATTCACCCCTCCGGCTCGGCGGGCGAGCCAGAAATCTTCGAGCCAAATACCGGGGTTCGTCTCCCCGGTGTACTTCGTGATGTTGGTGGGCGGTCGGAAGCGCTGTGGGAACGATGCTCTCCGGATACGCCGGCCAAAGGCCCGTGGTCCCGGGCTATCCGGGCTGGAACTCCGGTCGTCTGGTCGGCGACCATGCCTGGGGCGCGTTTCACCGCTCCCCTCGATGGTCCGGCCGGGGCCCGTGTAGCCTATCCTTGCCGCCGCCCGAAGGACGTCATCATCATAACGGACCTGATGCCGGTTGTTGATGACGCTGTGAGCGTCTCGGTGCGGACCGAGCCGTTCGCGTACCGGCGGTCGGTGTGGAGCAGGCGCCAGGTCGGACCGCGGCGCAGCCCGCGGCCTCCCGAGCCGCGCTTGGTGGCCGTAGCGGTGAGCGGGTGGAGCGATCCGTCTGTGCGTCCTCGCTCCCCCAGTGGGGAGAGAGGGCGCGAGTCGGAGTCACGACGCGGAGCTTTCCGCTTGTTGAACAGTGGCGGCTTCAGCGCCCAGAGCTGCTTCGATAGACCGCCTGCTCTTGGGGGTCGACGGGCTCGAAACGCCGCGCAGAAGCATTGCCGCAGCGGCGATGTTCTAGCTAGTCCGAACGAACTATGGGGGTCGTTCCCCTCGTTCATAATGTCGCGCTGAACCAGCCGCGGCCCCGGCGCGCAGCACGGCAAGACGGTGCTGAGGCTCAGCGTCGTGGCCTGGTACGACTGTGGCGCCGGCGAGTGGCGCGTCTTCCAGGACGCCTGCCCGCAACGCCTCGCGCCGTTCTCCGAGGGCCGCATCGACGGCAAGGGACGGCTCCAGTGTGCGTACCACGGGTGGTGCTTCGACGGCGCCGGCGCGTGCGCGTTCATCCCGCAGGCGCCGGCACTCGGCCCGCCGGTGCACGAGAGCAGCAGGGCGTGCGTGGCGTCCTACCCCTGCGTGGTGCAGAACAAGATCCTGTGGTTCTACCCGAGGACGGAGGCCGAGCACAGGGACGTGCTGCGGCGGAAGCGGCCGCCGTACATCAAGGAGATCGACGACCCGTCCTTCGTCACCGCCTACGGTACCTCTGCTATGGGTAAACAAACAACAAATCTTATGAGTATAGAACCTGATGGACAAATGCTTCCTGCATGACATTGCAAATTCACAATACATGGCAGGTACGATATCTTGGCAGAGAACCTGATGGATCCTTCTCATGTCCCATATGCACACAAGGGCCTGATCCGCCAACTGCGTAAAGCTGAAGATCCCGGGAGATACGTCCCTGATCTCTCATCATCTTTGGCAATGCAAACTACCCTGAATTTCAGGAAAAGGAGGTTCATTTTCCAGTCTTAGAACGAACGAAGAACATTGAGTGCCGCTGAGTGGTAGCGTTGCGTTTCTTCACAGTCGAGCACGACCGAGAAGGCGGCGGCCCGATCAAGCTGAAGATAGAGGAGGCGAGCATAGACGGGTTCCTGGCGTCCATGGAACGCGGCCACTGGAAGTTCATGGCGCCCTGCACGTTCCACAGCTCAGGGACTAGCCAGCAGGTACGCACCGCACCCGCTCTGCCATCCTCGATGCAATGCAGGTGGAGAAGCTGCAAGGAACCCAACAGAACGCCATTGTTTTGTTCCGTTGGCTCTGCAGCCAAAGCCGGGCAAGAAGAAGGCGCCTCGGTTCATGCTCGTCGTCTTCTGCATCCCGGTGGGTCCTCTGGGCGTTCCCGAGGAACTTCGGGGTGTGGCTGGACATGGTCGTGCCACGGTGGGTCTACCACATCGGCCAGAACCGTGTGCTGGACTCGGATGCCTACATACTCCATGTCGAGGTAGCTGAAATAAAGCTAGCGAAATGTCTGAACGTCCTATGCAACACTCGCTGCGTGTCAAGTTTGCCGCGATGGGCCTCGAGAACTGGCAGAGCAGGTGCTACGTGCCGGCGTCGTCGGACGCCATGGTCGTCGCCTTCAGGAGCTGGTTCAGGAAGCACAGCAAGAACCAGGTCGGCTGGGCGACCCCACAGCCCGGCCGGCTGCCGCCGACGGCCACCAAGGACAGGCTCATGGAGAGGTACTGGTCGCACGTGGCGCAGTGCGCGAGCTGCGGCGCGGCGCTCAGGGCCATGAGGGCGGCCGAGGCCGCCTTGCAGGTCGCGTCGGTCGCCGCCGTCGGCTTCCTCGCCGTGGCCAGGGAGTCGGCGCTGCTCACGTCGTCGCCTGCCAGGAGAGCCGTGCTCGTGTCCGCCGCCGTGCTGTGCTTCGCCGCGTCGCGCTGGCTCGCAAGCTTCATCCAGAGGAACTTCTTCCAGGATTACTCGCATGCTTACAAGTGACGTGACGTCACGCGTTCTGGAGGACGGGGATCCTGCGGTTTTGTTGCTGGAGCTTGTGGCCTTCGAGACTCTGACTTTGACACAGATAGTCCTTTTTTCCTTTTGCACAAAATGAGAGAGCCTTTTTGGACCGTTAACGAGCTGGGTTCGGTTTTGACCTTTTTGGGGCCGTTAATGGGCTGTGTGGTGTTTTGTTCTCTCGGGCCTTTTCCTTTGGGCCTTGGAATTTGTCTACTTCGTAATCGTAACCGATAAAAATCGTCTCTCTCGCACATGAGTTCTTTTTGTTTTTGCTAAAAAAAAACATGAGTTCTTTTGTTTCCCTTTCCTTTCCTTTTTCTTCTCTACCTATAAATAGAATGCATGGAAGAGTTTTTTTTTCCTTTTTCTTCTACCTAAATAGCATGCATGTAAGAGCCTTTTGTTTTCCTTTCCTTTCCTTTTTCTTCTACCTAAATAGCATGTAAAATCCGGGTGAAGATATTCTTTCCTACACCCCAATTTCAATTAGTCAACTTATGTTGAATTTAAACTTGACTTGTACTATGTCAATTTTATGTTTATGTACAAAGGCAGAACAAAAAAAGAAGGGGGAGAGATTCCCCACCTGATATATGTCAATTATTACTCCTATTTTGTGCAATTTATAGGTAGAAATGACGTAACTAAAAATCTAGGTGTGGGGAAGGAATATTTTGCTCAATTCTTACCACGTCTTTTGTCTAGTGTAGAATTCCTCTAAAACACTCATTTCTTCTTCCTACAACATGCTTACAAGATACAGACATAGAAGGGGCCCTTTCTTTTGAAACAAGAAGGGACCTTTTTCACCCGGGCATGATACATCAAAGTTGTTTTTGCAATTCCAGTTTTATTGTGACCTATTTGGTTGAGCCTATTTGTCGGCAATCTGTGCTGTTTTGTGCTAGGTGTTTGAATAAGGTCATCTTGTGTCTAGCTGACTCTGGTCGTGGGAAAAATTAGAATGCAAGCGGACCTGTCAGTCAACTCGCAAATAGACTTAATTTTACATGAAAATTCATAAAAATTAAGTCTAGATAGGCTCGCTTGCATTCCTAGGCAAAATCACAATTATCATGGAATTTTGTGCTGTGTGCATCATTTTTTTTTTGAAAGGCCATATGTATGCAGTGTGCATTATTGGCTGCGATTTTTTTTTTCTGCCATTTCTGTGGGGCAGGTGCAGGTGATTGTGAACTGCTGAATCGCCTGATCCAACTGCTACGTGCTACCGGCCCACAGGAGCCCCGTCCCCGTCCCCGCGACGCCACGACTCCCGCCAAACCACAGCCACGAGTTTGCCCCGGGTTTCCACCGCGCTCGCCGCCGGCCGTCGCCGCGCGATGGACCCCCTCTCCCTCCTGCAGCTCCCTCGCGCATCGCGCCCGCCTCTCCCGCTGGCCGCGGCCGCCGCGCCATTGAGCTCCAGGAGGCTAAACGTAAGCGGCGGCGCGCGCCCCGTGCCGAGGCGGCTGCAACGCCGCGCCGCGCGGCTGTCCGTGTCCGCCGTGGCGACCGAGACGCCGCAGACCGAGCAGGAGCAGCCGTCGCCGTCCGGGAAGGAGCGGTTCGACTGGCTGGACCAGTGGTACCCATTCGCCCCCGTGTGCGACCTCGACCCGCGCGCGCCGCACGGCAAGACGGTGCTGGGGCTCAGCGTCGTGGCCTGGTACGACCGCGGCGCCGGCGAGTGGCGCGTGTTCGACGACGCCTGCCCGCACCGCCTCGCGCCGTTCTCCGAGGGCCGGATCGACGACAAGGGCCGCCTCCAGTGCGTCTACCACGGCTGGTGCTTTGACGGCGCCGGCGCCTGCAAGTTCATCCCCCAGGCACCCGCCCTCGGCCCGCCGGTGCACACGAACCCCAAGGCTTGCGTGGCGTCGTACCCCTGCGTGGTGCAGAACAACATCCTGTGGTTCTACCCGAGGGCCGACCCCGAGTACAAGGACGTGCTGCAGAGGAAGCAGCCGCCGCTCATCCCTGAGATCGACGACCCGGAGTTCGTCACCGTCTATGGCATCAGAGACCTCCCTTACGGGTAAACGATCCAGTTTTTTTTCCTGAGTTTTGATCCCAGGATCTACCCAGCTGCATGCCTGCATTGCACATTTGAACATTTGCAGTTCAGTCATAGTTTGTGGCACGGTTGCATTGCAGGTATGACATTTTGATTGAGAACCTTCTGGATCCTGCCCATGTCCCGTATGCACACAAGGGGATCATACGCGGCATCCGCAAGAAGGAAGATCCTGGAAGATATGTCCCTGATCTAACACGAGTATCTTCTCTTATGTTTGGCATTGCTAATGAAGTTGTTCTGCCAGTCCATACAATTCGTTGGGCTTACTCAGTTGCTGACAATGCTTGTTGCTTGGCATGCTGCATAGCTGATAGGAGTTGTTTATTTTTCTTCACAGTTGAGTATGATAAAGAGGGTGGCGGTCCAGCCAAGATGAAGATCGAGCAGGCAAACATACAAGGGTTTGTGTCGCCGCAGGAGCGGGGCTACTTCCAGTTCATCGCGCCCTGCACGTCGTTGGCCGGACCGTTTCCACAAGAGGTGTGAATCCCCTCCCTCTTTATCAATGCAAGTGATGCCGGAAGGAATTCGTCGAACAATCTTAACATACCATAACTATTCACAGTTCTTGCCTCTTGGTGGTCGGTCAGGACAAGAAGAAGAAGGTGCCTCGGGTCATGCTGGTGTTCTTCTGCATTCCGGTCGGTCCTGGCAGGAGCAGGGTGATCTGGGCGTTCCCGAGGAACATTGGGGTCTGGCTCCACCACATCACACCACGGTGGCTGTACCACGTTGGCCAGAATCTTGTATTGGATTCAGACATTTTCCTCCTCCACGTTGAGGTACATAACTCAAGTTCTGTCAGTGTCAGGCACAACAAACATCCAGATTATACTCTGCTCGATCTATCTCATAGTCAAAGCTTAGTGATTCAGGCTTTTGTAACTCTTGTCTGCTGAATTCCTTTTGTTAGGAGCGTAAATTTGCCGCAGCAGGGCTCGATAACTGGCAGAAAGCTTGCTATGTGCCAACGTCGGCGGACAGCATGGTGGTCGCCTTCAGGAACTGGTTCAGAAAATTCTCCAAGAATCAGATCGGCTGGGCAACCCCACAAATCGATCAGCTGCCACCAACACCAACCAAGGATCAGCTCATGGAGAGGTAAACAAGCTAGTAATCTTCACACTGGCCTGAAACATCATACGGTCGCCAAGGAATTGAACTGTGATGCCCATGACAGGTACTGGTCACACGTGGCGCAGTGCACAAGCTGCAGCGCCGCGCTGAAGGCCATGAAGGCGCTCGAGGTTGCCCTGCAGGTCGCCTCGGTCGCCATCGTCGGGTTTCTTGCCGTCACCAAGGGAACGCTGGTCACCTCGACTGTTCAGAGGGCCGCCGTCGTGTCGGCGGCCGTGCTATGCTTCGCTGCGTCCCGCTGGCTTGCCAACTTCATCCAGAAGAACTTCTACTTCCAAGATTACATCCACGCCTACAAGTGATGAAGTTCAGGAATACCTGTGGTTTTTGTTGCTAGGAGATTGTTGTTTTTACTGTAAATGCAAATTAGAAACGTTAGGAAGCCCACAAGTTTTTTGATACGGTAGCAACTGTATATAATAAATAAGTTATCTTCATTGTAAAGTGTGTTCTTGCAGTGTCGGCTGGCGATAGGACCTGATATTCTGCTGCGAAGTACTGAATATGAATTCATATGTAAGATAGTAATCAACAGACAAAACTTCGTATTTATTTGCATGATGAAATCCACACGATTCAAACCCCATGGGTTCGGCATAACAGTAAGCCATACAAGGGAATACAAATAATTCTTTTTTTTTGTGTGTGGGGGGGGCGGCAGAGTCGATGTGGTTTCACGAACGGGATGGAACGACGAAGGATGCGAACACTGTTGGTAAACAGTAAAACAGTATTTCCTGGCTAAAAAACTATAGATCTTATTTATATGATTGCAACGTATCTATACCAAAATAGCTTCTCTTATCTCTGTTCCCAAAAAAGATTCCATGGTTTGCCATGATTGGATTCTGTTGCATAAATATTTGAAATGGGAAGACCTGTGAGTACAAAATGTGTGGCTATTAGCTAAGAACTAAGTTCTTGGTTGGTGTCGGCCAAGGGTTGACTGTTTATGGCAACTGCACGAGTGAAAACTCTTGTAACTAAATTGCCCTGAAATGCAAAAAAAAAAAGCCTTAATCAGTTATCAAGAATTTAAATATCAAAAGTGACAGGCACATCGCAATTACAAATCAATGCAGATTATAAAAGTTTAACAGTATTCTTTTAATTCTTTTAATGATATAGTAAGAAAATGATCAGACCATGACATACCTCGTCATATAAGAATCATCGGCGGTACTGATTACAATCTTCTCACCCGCTTCAATAAAAGGTGGTGCCTAATATGAAGGCAAAAGGTAATGTTAGTAAGAAATAGCTCAAATATACTAGGTCCATGTTTATAAATTTTCAATCATTATGAATATGTTAAACATCCAGAGAAGTTTCAAGACAGAAGTAACTTATATTCAGGTACAATGAAGGTGCCACATTAATGAAAACAAGCAAGTGAACCAACCAGGTTTATGGTGGCAACAAAATTTAGTCGACAAAAGAACAAAAAGGGCAAGAGGTAAATGAATCATGAGAATAAGGCTTATGTGCGTAAACTTTAAACGAAAATATAGAAAAGTGCAAAGCTGTGCCAATTCATCAACTACAAATCAGTTCTGTTTCTGTACATATAAAGAGAACAGCACTCTGCCCCACAGTTTCACAAAGAGAACAGCACTAGATCAACAAAGTGTGTATAATAATAATAATTCTAGGTAAGGAAACACTACAGAATGGTGGCCAGTAACTTACAAGAACGGTAAGACCATTATCCAGCACGACCCTTTTATACCTGCATTTATAACAAGCATGTGCTTAGTTAACTGTATAATACTGAGGCTTGGACATCTGACTGTAAGAGGTTACGAAGCAGGTATTAGTAAAACAGGAAAGTCCAAATTACTCCCCAGAGACCCCCACACACACACACCCCAAGTGGCTTGATTTATTCCCCCAACTATTTCACTTGGCCCAAATTACCCATTAACAAGATTACTTTGTTTCTGTATGTACAAGTTGAGTTCAAATTTCAAATTCCATGAGGCGATAGTAGACATCATACTTTATGTTGAAAAATCATAATTTTTTATCATAGTTTTGATAAGTTAGGACATCAAATAATAAATTAACACTACAGATACAACATTGTATGAAACATGATGATGAAAAATTTATAATATATTTTCTTAACATAAATTATGATGCCTGCTATCACCTCATAAATTTTGAAACTAAACTCAACTTGTATGTGGATAAAAAGTATTGTTAAGGAGTAAATTGTACCGACTGAAATAGTTTGGGGGGAGTAAATCAGGCCTTGTTTAGTTGGGTGAAATTTGGGAATTTGGCTACTGTAGTACTTTTCGTTTTTATTTGGCAATTAGTGTTCAATCATGGACTAATTAGGCTCAAAACGTTCGTCTCGCGATTTCCCACCAAACTGTGCAATTAGTTTTTTTTCCGTCTACATTTAATGCTCCATGCACGTATCGCAAGATTCGATGTGATGGCTACTGTAGCACTTTGTGGGAAAACTTTTTGGAACTAAACGCGGCCTCAAACCAAATGTTAGTTTAGGGGGTTACCCGAACAAGAGTCAAACTTTTTTTTTTTTTTTTTTGGGGGGACATAATAATGACTTAATGACAGTGCTAATCAGTCTTGGCTCTCAAAACTCAAATGTATCGTACTATATTAAGTCAACCAAACCTCAAGATTACATGTATCGTTTGAATATAAAAGAATGATTTAGGAAGCTAAAATTTACTCCATCATGGTTTAGGCAGTCACAAACTCTGCACAATTATGTTATTCATTACCGTTCAGCAGAGGTTTGGGGCCAAAGAAACCTCTATACATATGTGGGTCAATGTAAGATGTGACAGTGGAATTTGACACAGGTAAAAGATGGAGGACCTAATTTAGACAATTCTGAACTAAATATGTAAGATGTCACCTACAGACTTGCTTTTGCAAGTTCTGATTAACGAAAACTAGACTACTTCCACAATCCAGCATTCCACTGCCTGCAGCTACTTGACATGTGCATATTCTCATGACTTTCTAAGTCTCTATCTCAAAGCAAATTTCTTTGTGCATATACCTGCCAACTAGAAAGCTCGCATTAAACAGTTTTTTTATCACTACTCATTATACAGCATTAACTTATTAAGAATAAATGGATGATGAAATAATACAAAAACTTACTGAGGTTGAGCAGTTAGCCCTTTTGTATTTGGCTGTGCTTCAACAACAGTGCAAGTCACTCGCTGAGGAACTGTAGCAGACATTGGCCGGCCATCAAAGTATTGTAGATTCACCTTCATTTCATCTATTAAAGCAAGAAAAAAAAGTAGGGTGTAAGGATTTTAACAAACACATTATAAACTAAATTCCAAACTGAGAAGACGAAATTAACATGGACACTGCAAATCTTCATAAGTTGGCGAGCTGCTACGGCTGGAAACTATGAAAAGTTAAGCCCAATATTACAAGGCAACTATAAAAACCGTAAACATTTCTACATTAGTAAATATCAGCCTTATGGTGCTGCTACAGCACCATCAGCTTTCATATATGAGGAAAAGAGTCATAAGAGAAATAAATAGCTTACTGTACAAATACAAAAACATAAGCACATTTTTATTTCTGTAAACCATCAAAATTCCTTATTCTTAATTAGTACTCAGTTGAACCTTTCAGGTATGCAGCAGCTTTGCCAAACAGTTCCTTTGAAACTTCAAGTTGCTCAAATGTTTCAGGCCTGGCAAAAAAGAGACACCAGATTATAGAGCACAATTGAAAAACAAACATTGGCATCATCACAGCTTAGCGTGTGAATAGATAATGATAAGAAAGAAATGAAACCTACTCCATAAGCGTCACAGTATCTCCTTCCTGATACAGATATGTGAATGATTTCTCCTCAACAAAAACTCCTGAGTGTGTTCAGAGAGAGCATTTAATAATTAGACTAGCATTATATGCATGATTGTTTAATTTTAAAACTGGAAAAAATGAAGCAAACATGTTATCAAATATTTAAACTGATACCTAACTGAATACTGTTGGCAGACAGTGTTTATTATCCCCTTACCCAATGCCAATGATCGCGAGGCCAATACAAGGCTATCAGCTCAGGCTGTGTAGGGAAGTTGGCTAAACAGGAAGGCTCAAATGTAGCCAGGATTCAGGTGGAAGTGGAACCAAATAGTTTTAGATGACCTCTCATAAAACTCGGTTACATATAGGTACTGTACCCTTTTGTATTTTCTCCAATACTATTAATATAGTGTACTTATGTGCAAAAATAATACAATCATGTCCATCAAATTAATTGCAGCATTTATGCAATAGAAAATTCTGGAGAGGCTGTTGAGATATTGGTCCTAAGACTACCAACTGCTTGATCAATATATACCATGTTCTACATCATAATTATAGTCATGAATTCAATTTAGTTTGCTCAATCATGTTCCATAGGTTATGAGACTGCCTAAAATTGGCTTTGCACATGATTGCTATGTAAGACACTAGAACAATAAATTGTAATCAGAAGAAAGGACTGCCCAGGTAGGTGGATGGTTACATGCATGGAGGCAGTTAGGCTACAACATAAAGGCTTGTATGGCTACCAATGTTTTCAAGGCGATAAGGCGAGGCGTGGCGACTGACTACCGCCTTACGCTTAAGCGAGTAAGGCGTAAGGCGAGGCGACGCCTTAACAGCTTAAGAAAAATTTAAAACAGCAGCTCAGAGCAGTAGATGGTGAAGAGAAAAAAAAGGAAAAAGGAAAAAGAAAGGAGGAGGAGTAAGAATAGGTCTGGCCCAGCCCATCAGGCAGCCCATGTGCCCCTCACCCACCAAGCATGTCTTCATCTCTCTGCTCCCAAATCCCCAATCCTCTCTAGACTCCAGCGCCGCCGCAACTCTCCTGACTTCTGACTTCCGCCTCCGGCCTCTGCCCCTCTCTCTGTCTCTTCCCTCCCTCTCTTCCAGATGCGGGCGCAGCTGCATGGCTTCCTGAGATGGAAGAGGGCACGGCTGCATGGCTCGGCTGCGGACGGCCGAGCGGCAACTTCCCCCGGCACCAGCAGCGAGGATGAATGCGGTGGCGCGGGTGAGCTGCGGCTTCCTCTTCCTCACCCGCTCACTGGGGTCCCCTGGGCGCCTGCTCTCTCTGCGCTCTGTTTCTCCCGTGCACCAGCTCTCTCTCTCTGCGTGCGCCTGTTTCTTTCGTGCGCTCGCGCTCTCTCTTTCCTTTTTTCGCGCCGATTCTCCTGCGTTTTCCCACTGTCCAGAGCAGAGGCTTCCTCGTATGGCGCCCGCCATGCGCGATTTGGCGCGATTTGGACGCCAAAGCGACGTTTTTTGGACGCCTCGGCTGTAAGGCGGACGCCACACGAATCTAAGGCGAGTCGTCTGCTAAGGCGTCGTGCGTGCAGCGCCTTGGCGCTTAAGCGACGCCTTAAAAACACTGATGGCTACATCTTAGCTGTTAAAGTCGTGTTTTATACTTTTATGTAAGAAAAAGAAAAAGAAATCATACTCTCAAGGGCCTCATCGGTACGAAATCTTTCTGTTATTTTGTTTCCAGTGTCAACATCCCTCAGTTCGACCTGCAATAGTCAAAGTGTTCAAAAGGGTGTACCCAGTGCAGAAAGCTCCCGCTCTGTGCGGGGTCTGGAGAAGGGTGTCAGTGGCAAGCCTTACCCTCGCCTGTGCAATGCGAGGAGACCGCGACTCGAACCTGGGACCTTCCGGTCACAGGCGGTAAGACTCTACCGCTTGCACCAGGCCCGCCCTTCAGTCAAAGTGTTCAAAATAAAACAGAATAAATATTGACTACTTGAAATCGTGAGAGTGAAGTATGTGGCGCCAATTGCTGCAGGAAATAAACTATGGAACAAATAAAATGAATGACCTGTATTGTGGCTCCTCCTCTTCCTTGATGCGAATGTTGTGCTTTTATTACCTGAACAGAAGACAAGCAAGTCAGGAAACCATACAGTGCTTGTTCTTGTAATGAACACAGGTAACTCCATCAAAACAGTAACTACCAATGGATGCATAATACAAGAAGAAATTCTGTACCTGATAAATGCGACCTTGAATTTTAAGGTTGGCCAAAGGGACGAGTAAGTAACAGTCAATGATACTTGAAAGAAAAAGTAAAACACAAGAGATGTAAGTTCACACCTCTTCTTTGTATTACATTTCCAAGTTTCACCTACAATATATGAAGACAGACCCAGAGTTAATCGGCGCATAATGCTTCAGAAAAGACAGAGGACATATGTTAGTAATTACATAAAACGATCATTTCTGCACAAGCATTTTTTGCCCTTGGGTAAGGCTGTAAGCCATCCTACTAACAGCTAGCTCTAGCTGTAGTGATTTACATACTTCAGAAGGACAGCCCTTTACTGCGTCATGTATTACACAATTTGCACATTTCAACTCACGGCGTGAGCTCGATAGATGTATGATGATGACTACTGTAATAAACTCCCAAGCCCCAGCTATACCCTGCATAACGTTCCATATAACATCTTTCTGCAGCCTGAACTGAATAAATTCTCCCGAAAACAAAAGAACAACTAACCAATCCTGGCGCATACAAATGATGAGCAAGTCACCTTTACCATTTCTGTGGCGAAGTAAATAGAACAAGTGTAACTAAAACAGGTCACCGCACCAAGCCATTAAAACCCTAGCTAAACCCGAGACATTAAAATTAGAGGAAGTCGAGAGTCGCAAGGGAATCCGTACGTACGTCGGAGCCGAGCATCTTGGCGCCGCGGCGCTGTGTGGCAGCCCACGGAGCAACGGCAAGCGAGCCCGAGGCGGCGGGCGGGGCCCACCGCGCGGCGGCGCCCGCGAGCGTGGCCACCGCATGGGCCCGGCCGCGGTGCGCGGTGTGGAAGAGAGGGAGGCGGCGGGAAGCCTCCAGAACCTTCCGCCGGAGGATCTGCATCGCAAAGTCGGCGCTGCTCCCCTTTGCGCTTGCGCTTGCGTGGAGAGGAGAGAAGAGACAGGACCGTGCAGCGAACCACATGGGCCGAGCCCAACATTTCGGTCGGATTCAGGCCCACGAACTGTGTAATTTTCGTATTTGTTAGCCACTTTTTTTCTGATTGGGTGGTCCCGGAAACCCAGAAAGAAGCCGCTGCGGCGCTGCCGTCGTGGGCCCCGCTGTCTCCTGCCCCTGCCCGAGGTGAGCCGCCAGGCGCCAGCTGCAGCGCCCCAGCCAACCAGGCGGCAGCACGCACGCGTGCCCCACTGGCCACCACCACCCGCGCCCGCACCCAAAATAACCTCGCGGATTTTTGCTTTCGCCAAATCCAGCCTCCACACGCGGAGAAAATTCCGAAGCGGAAGAAGTTGAACCGACCGAGAGGGAGAGAGAAAGATAGAGAGAGAGAGAGGAGAGAGAGGAGGGAGGGAGGGAGAAGGCGAGAGAAGATGAGCTGCGCCGCCGCCGCGCTTGCGGTCGCCCTCATCGCTGCCGTTGCCGGCGCCACCGCCGCGGGGTCGCCGGCCGCGGGCACGTGCGCGCGGAGGGGCGCGCCGCCGTTCCTCGACGCCGTCGGATCCCGCTGCCCCTTCGTCCGGATCGAGCCGTCCCCGCCCCTCGAGGTAGGTCCACCGCCTAATCGGCGAGCCAAACCAGCCCGCGACTAAACCGCGGCGTCTCTCGCCGGTGGCGGCCTCGTCCTGTCAAAATCGTTACATGTCAACGCGGCAATTAGTGGCGACGCGCTGTTTTTCTTTTTAATCGGTCGTCGATATATACGATTTGCGTGCTAAGCCGCGCGGTATTAGTGGTATTAGTGGGAGACAGACAAAGATGCTGTGATTTTCATTTTGGCTACAGATATTCGCACCATGATGGGTGCGAATCTTGTGCCTTGCTAATTAATCCTCTCTTTTTAACATCTGATGAAACGATATAGTAACCTTTTGGAGTACAATTATGCAATAAACCATGGCAAATAAGGTATTCAGTCTCCCAATGAACCTTTTGCTGGCATGGAAAATATGTTGATGAATGCAATTGACCAATATAATAAACAAAAGAATGCTAGTGGAGCTAGAAAGTGCAGCCTAGTAGATTGGTCTGGTGAAGGAGAATCATCAAGAATATGTGAGGCAGACTTTTGCTTGACGGAGTTTGAAATTTGGAAATCAGGTCTTAGATCCAAATATGTGAGTGTTGTTTGACTTCTGGATATTCTATGTGCAGATGCTTGGCACTGGGAGTATTAGTTGTTTCTTCTGTATATTATATCTAAGATTCTAAATATTAAACTTTAGTTTATTATCGATACACCATAGATATATGTAAAACATTTTAGGAAAATGAAAACCTACCTGTGCATGCAGACATGCAGTGATTAGGATATGTGATGGTTGTTTGGATTTTGAAAGTTTCCACCAAATTTGAGGCATATATTTTACGATGTTTCAATATTTGATTGGTGCTGATAGTATGTGCAACTATTTACAGAGCTGAAAAACTGTATTGTAATTTTAATAGGATTTGTCAGAAGAATGGTTAAATTATGTGTACTTAACTTTTGGTTAATTGTGGCACTGAAATGGGAAATAGTGTCAACCTAAAACTATTACTTCTGTGGTGACACCCTGCAATTTGTGCTGATTGTGCTAAATTTTCTGCAGATCAATGAACCATCTTTACTTTTAGCTGCTGTTGGGCATATTTTCACTTGACGAAGTGCCTTGTTTATCAATTAATAAATTGAAATTTTTGGCAGTGCAATGAATGTGGATAGTTTGTATTGCAAATTTGGAAAGTTGTGGTTTCTTTATTTAGTTGTACTCCTCCTTAATATACCTTGTCTTCTGCTGAAGGTGAGAGGAGAGGCTGTTGATACTGAGTTGAACCTTCGAAGGAGGGGTGCTTCATACTCTATTCTTTTTTATGCTGCATGGTGTCCATTTTCGAGCAAATTCCGACCAATATTCGAAGCTCTCAGCACGATGTACCCTCAGATACATCACTTTGCTGTTGAAGAATCTTCTGCTACACCAAGGTTTGTGAATGTTGAACTCGTTAGTGTTGGACTGTTGAATTGAGACAGTTTGTCCCTGCTTGAACAAATATTGTTTGTTCAGTGGATTCATATAGCTCATTGTACTGCATCTGCTTACTGTAGTTTGTTTTCAAGATATGGAGTCCGTGGTTTCCCAGCCATTCTTCTTGTAAATGAGACTACGATGGTTCGATATCGGGGTTCAAAAGATCTTAACTCTCTGGTCGATTTCTATAAAGAGACTACAGGTACCATTGTTGCTCACCTTGTTCATGCATATGTAGCTTTATTAAATGATCACGAATTCTTCCAAATATGCTTTACTTGAGACTTGAGAAAATCTTATGATTGAGCATACAGTCACTTGGATAATTATTGCTTTGCTATTATAATTGGTTGAGTGCTTTTTAATTCTTAACCTTGGAAATTATTGCTGCTGTCTAATGGTGAATCGTCTGTACCCTTGAATGAATACACCCCCATGTGGCCATGCACCAAAATTTGCAATCTTACTATGATGTTCTATTCTTTGAGGTCTTTAAATGATTGATGCTTATGTGTACACCAGCGGCATGGGGTAATAGTTTAAGGGGCAATTGGTCATGCTACATTTGTGGCCTTGTGGATAATTATATCACTTGTTTGCTTATAGTACTTGAAAGCATATTTCTGAAGGGTGTCTTCCTGATGCAGGTCTGGATCCAATTGCATATATTGATGTTGTCCAGCAAGAGAGCGCAGGAAGCTTGAGCTCAGTTATGCCATGGGATCGTTCTCTGCGTGAAATGGCTAAAGATGAGCCGTATTTGTTAGCTGCAGTTCTTTTTATCATCCTGAAGGTTGCAGCGCACTTCATACCTGTTGTCATGTCTCATCTGAGAGCTTTCTTAGTTGTCCGTGTCCAAAACTTGAACCTAGGGATCCTTAGGGGATCAAACCAGCTCTTGGAACGAGCCTTGAATGTTCTTGATATGAGGAGGCTTTGGAGCAAGCTGAGACTGAGCAACAAGGCAACAGACTTGAGGAAGGGAGCAAGTAATGCTCGAGCTTGGGCTTCTTCTTTTGCTTCTGTTTCACTGGGTGAACCATCATCTTCTAGACAAGCTTAGCCATTTTGGAGATGTTTGTTAGGGTAGCTGCTCACATGGTGCGAAACTATTTAATCTTTGCTTCCCATCCTGCTCTGTAGCACTGTTTCTGTGCAGTCAGGAAGGGGGAAAGCTTACAGGCATGTAAATTTTGAGGACATCATGTGCTGTTGTGTATTAGGAATACCTTTGCATTTGCTGATGCAACGCCTAATCTTCCTGTCCATTAACTAGAGTTATTTGGCCATGTATCATGAACATCTTTGTAGGTTTTTTTTAGGATTTCTCTCTGTTGTTTGTGGTGCTGTATTGGTAGTTTACAATGTAATCTCTATCAAAGAACCTGGTTTCACTTTGTTATTATACTCCAATTTGAAGAGCTTGAAGCTGGGCCCTACTCTGTGGAACTCAGTTCCTATCTTCAGTTGTAGGTCACTAATTCACTATAATGTTTGGAAGATACAAGGTCATGTGAAACCTGAATTGCTCTCTTTTCAATTGAATGCTGTTGTTTCTTCTGACATTTTTGTCTGAGGTTTACATTGTTGCGTGCATGATTCTTCTCCAGTATGATCATTTGCTATCTATGGTCACATTTCTACTTCATTTCTGCCGAAGCTTCACTACGGTACGGGTGTCTCCTGTACCTGTTGGTTTTAGGCCCCGATTAGTTTCCCTCAAAAACCAAAAATTTTTACGCAGCAAGTGTCACATCAAATCTTACGGCATATGCATGGAGTACTAAATGTATACGAAAAAAAAAACTAATTACACAATTGGGTGAGAAATCGCGAGACGAAACTTTCAAACATAATTAGTTCATAATTAGACACTAATTATCAAATACAAACGAAAGTGCTACAGTACCTAAAACCCAAAAATTTTCGGATCTAAATGCGCCCTTAACTGGTGTGTATATGTTGCTTTCTCAGTTCATGTTTATTTCGTTTATCGTATCCTTTGCTTGACTCTGTTATCAGCTTTTCTGTGAATTTTATTTGACTTGCATAAAACATTCTGGAAACGCTCCTCATCATAACTTGAAAAGGATGGATGCGGATCTGGATTAGGTGGCAGTGGCACCCTAATTCTGACAAGACAACTGCTGATAGAGAAAGATTAATGAGTTTGCTATGCTGTCTAATTATGACTACGAAGTAACATTGAGCATATAGCTATTCTCAGAAATTCTGGGACGACTGGATCAGTTTTAGTTTGGAAAACAAAATACTGTGAACTATTTTAAGGCAGTCTAAATAAGACTGCCATAGGTTTTGTTTGCCGCTGCTGAGTCTTTTCCTTGGACACAGTATTTAGATCGGTAGCAACTATAACCATTTGATATTTGTGTAGCTATTAGTAGATTTTAAATCAATACCATAAAGAGTACTTCTTTCTTAATATGAAGGAGACCAAACATTTCACATTTTTGTCCTGACTGGATCGTCAGAAACATGAAAAGGGATTTGAGTAAAAATGAAGGAAGGAAGCAGTGCCCAGTGGGCAGTGGTAGGCCCCAAAGGACATTTTCACTCTTGCCACCTAGCAGTAAGGCTAAGCCCAAACACACACACAAAAACTCTTCAAAATTGGTTTGCCATCTGCCCATCTCCCTCCCCGGGTGCAGGCAGCAAGTGTCCCTGTTCCCACTCTCCACTTCCCACCGGTGGTTTCCCTCCAGAAAAAAAGAAAGTATCCTTCCACGCCACCAGTCGTGTTAATTCCTGGGAAGCATCCATTCTTGACCACTCTAGGTATCATCGCTGCAAGCGTCCTACTATATAGATCCCTGATCCAAACTCAACTCGCTCATGAGCAGAGGTGTCTCCATGGATGCTATCAGCCTTGACGACTGGGAGCTCCTCCTGCCTGACCACAAGAGCTCCTTCGGCAGCCATGGCGTTGTCGGTGGTAAGGACCAGCTCTTGCTCGGGGCCGAGCTGGTCGTGATCGACATGGACCACTTCGGCCCTACGTCGTCTCACCCTCCTCCCTACGACTGCATCCTAGATGAGGTAGCCAAGAAACCACTCCTGCTACTACCATCAGAAAAAGATGTCTATGGGCGCGATCCGATCGCCGACTACAAGGACATTGACGTCGTGGCGGCCGAACCAGAGCGGGAGGAGCTCGTGACCGATATACTGGTCTACGAAGCGGAAGAGCAGGAGGAGACGATCAAGTCCGTCAAAGTGGCCGATCAGGACGACGATGACGTGCTGGTTGAAGCTGCTGCGCCTGATGGCGTCAGTCAGTGTGAAGAAGAAGAAGAAGAAGCGTCAGCAAGACTGGCTTCGGCATGGGGAACCTGAGAGTGAACGGTGTCGGCGCGCTCTGCTCGTTCGGGGTTGCAGCTGCCACGTTCTGCATCTTGCTGCTTGGTGGCAAGCAGCAGCAACTGCAGAAGAGGCACGGTCACAAGATCCAGCTCCAGCACATGTATGCTGACGATGAGGTTCGTGGCTCTTCCGTCTTCCCTGATGTTCTAGCTAGGAATTCAGCAGTTTAATATATCTGGGACATTCCCAAGGGCATGTTCCTGGATTAAGATATTGCTCACTTAAACTTGACTCGGTTTTTTTTTTGTTTGTCCCTAAATGTAGCTCCACTTATCCCTTGTTGCATAAATATTGAAAAGAATCTTTGGATTTAGACTGGGTTATGACCGAACAGAGTCTTGGAGAATTCTGACTGACAGAGTTTTGGTTGTTTGATGTGCTGCAGAGGATTCAGCAGGTTGTGCAGCAGGCCTCCAGGCTGAACCAGACCATGTCGTCGGTGATGGGAGGCGCATCATCTGCACGGGCAAGCATATCGTTCGGTGGATACTACCAAGGGTTTTGATCTGCCAAAACTCGGAATTTCACGCATCATTAGATAGATCTACTCCCTCCGTTCTAAATTATAAATCACTTTGACTTTTTATATATATTTATTTTGCTATGCATCTAGATATAATATCTAAATACATAGCAAAATTGATGAAAAAAAAGATCAAAACAACTTATAATTTGGAACGGAGGAGAGTAATATTCTTCGTAGATTGTTCATATTGGCCAGGGACCCTAGGGTGTACAGTACTATTCTCTGCTCTCTAGTATCATGTATTTCATATTCCTACTACCAAACCTGTATAGATCAACATCAACTCGTAAGATTGTTATACATATAAACAGATATCAGATGCAGATTTTTGTTGGAGGGCTTGAGGGTTTTTGTCAGCTGGTAAGAGACAAATTAGTGGATGTCTGAACCTGCTCGCCATGATAGACCGTTGGCCTGTCGGTTAGCACACCTCACGGCACCGATCGACAGTGATCTTCTTCTCATCGCTCGATGGCTCGATCCAATAACCCCGTCGAAAAAATCAGAGAAAAACGTCAGGGTAATCGTCCAAGGATGTGACTTGTGAAGGGCGACACGTCAAAAAGAAAAACAGGAGTGATTAAAAAAAAAAAAAAAAAAACTTGCATCCACGTGCCCTGCCGGCTGCCGCCAGACGATAGGGAGAACAACCGAGAAGGCAAAGCCATCTTGGAACAGTGCTCCGCGACAGCAATGGCTGGGACCCGTCAATGGAGGTGGGCCCGACACAGCTGGTAAATGTGAAAACGAAAATAACTGATGAATAGCCGCTTGGATTTTTTTTATCAGGTACAATTTGGACGTATATTATCTACACTTACACCACACGTACATACATACACAGGTGCGCGTCCGTACACACGTAAAGAAGATATTATGAAACTCTCTAGCCTCCCGTGCATGGCCGAATGTGCAAGTGTACGTGTACCCTATATTTAAAAAAAATCTAAAAAATAGGTGCGCCTGTTCTGTCACTCGACCACGGGCCCATTCACCGCTGGGATTTTTTTACAGTCATTTCATTTGCGTTCACCTCACCCGTGCGTGTCTCTGTCCTTGACTGTCCATTCCGGGTCTCCTCTCGCTGGACCTTACAGTTGCATGTGTGCAAGCCCATAGGCTCACCGTAGGATGCTGGTCCGGTTCAATTAAAGGCTCATCGTCCATTACGGCCCATATGAAGCCCATTTGTATTTCCCCTCTTCCGTCGACAGTGTCGTTACGAATCTTCTTCTTCTGGCGTTGAGTGAGCCCTTGCCCTTGCCATCGACAGGACCAGGCCAGGCAGGAGCAGGAGCAGGAGCAGGACCCCAGCTGAGTGAGTGAGACAACAGGCGGAGACTGGTATTGGCGGTGCGTGCTAGTGCTACAGCGCCGGCGGCGGTCCACTGCGGCGTAGTACTGTAACTGGCGAGTGAGTGATGAGGTGACAGACTGGTAATGGCGGTTCCAAAAATAAAAAAAAGGACTGGACGACTGGCAATGGCGTGGCGGAGCATGCAGTACTAGCACTCTACGCTAGGGCATCCCTGGGCGGGCTCCGTCCGGTTCCCGTCGGGGTTACGCTCTCCCGTTCCCTACTTCCCTTGAGGCTTCAGCAGCTGATGAGGCTGAATAGCCTGAGCTGAGCTTTTTTTTCTTTTTTTGAGCAAAAAGAATAGCCTGAGCTGAGCTGATGAAATGAAGAAATCCAACAAGTGGTCTGGCGGCTGGCGCTGGCGGTGCGGCTCAACGAACTGACAGCGCTGCTCCTTCAATGCGGGGCACATCAAAGCCGCGCCCGAGCAGGAGCAGCTGCGGTCTGTTGCGCGAGCAATGAATGCTGTGCCTGTCTCTCTGCCGCAAGCCCTGAACCCAAGGCTGTTTGTACTAGTCATTTCATTTCCAGGGAAAGAGGCGCGTAAAGATGGTCAGAAAACCGTGGAGATGCGCCCAGGTTTCAGTGTGACGTTCCTTCCTGCACCGACTGGCCGGGTGTGCAACTCCAGCGCCGCCGGCCGGCCCTGCCAGTCGGCGGTGGTTCGTGCAGGAGGCTTGGTCGAAGGGGCCAGGCAGGCAGGAATCCCCCGGGGCGTCGCCCGAGTCCGCGGGAGCAAGACAAATCCAGGCGCGGCGCGAGGCGTGCGCCATGCGCCTGCAGGAAAAGGGTTAGTTGCCGGTCGACCGCAGCCATGGCGGTCCCCACGTGTGCCTGTCCCGACCATCCATCCATCGTCCGCGTAGCCGGTAGCCCCGGCTCCCTTTCCATTCGAGATTCGACCGACTCATGCTAACTTTGCTTAAACCACCACGTGTTCGTCGCCATCGCGGAGATCGGTCGACGGGAAATTAAAGCAGCTCTGTCGTCTAACGATGGGTGCATGGGATGATTACTCGTTCGGGCGGCTCCGCTCGACTATACGATCAACGAATTCAGTTGGTCCATCGCATCAAGCCATGAAGAAGTCGACTGTGCTCGGTTTAGTTTTATTTAGAAATGCAATCTCATGTGAAATGAAATGTGAAATGTTTGCCGAATCGAGCGCAACAACAAGCCGGATGGAGAGGATATGATTTTGTAAGAATGCAAGATTGGTCACACCGCTCTCCATGGCGCAACAAGCTTTTCACATGTGAAATGTTTGCTAGCAAACCCCTCCTACATGCTCTATATATACCGTGACCTGCCCTGCCACGCCAACGCGTGCGTTCAGTGCGATATAGCGTTCTTCTTCAGAAAGGGCATGGAACTTCTCCTGCTATTCAATTAATTAACCCGGATTATGAGAGAAACTGAGCCCTAAAACCTTACGACTGTACGGTTTATTAGAAAGAAACCGGTGAAAAAACGTAGCACGACAGCTCGGACAATAACCTCAGACCATCCCGCTAACTTATATCGCCCAACAAAGATCCATGATAGAGTCGGTCGTGGGTCATCGTTGCTGAGCTTGCATTGCCACAAAAACGACCAACGACTTGGACTTTCCGCAACGAACCTCAACCAATCCCACCCAAACACCGCCACCTACACATAGCATACACAAACACATCTAGGAAGATATCGTAGCTTATCATATATCGTTGAACCGTTTTCAACCAAAAACGTGGAACATGGCCACGTTCCTCGTTCCCGTAATGTCATTCCGATCCGTGAACGTCCACGTTTCCGATTCAGGAACATTTACATTCCCAAAATTTAAAACACCTCAAGTTTCCGTTCTCGTTCTACGTTCCGTTCCCTTGTAGGAACATGTCTTCTAAGGTGTTGAACCCCGTAAAAGAGCAGCTCCGACTTCACCACTTTTAAACTCAGACAAAGAATGGTAGCAGCACGCTATTCTTTATAGGCGGCAAAAGGTTCAAAAACTCCTCTTCATTTTGCATTCATGCATGCTTGCGTTTGTTATGATGGTATCAGCATGAAGATTTGGGATCGGTTACATGCATGTACGAGGATCTGGCCTGGTCACTTAGCCTGTTCGTTTGCTCGTATACGATCGTGGATTATAAGTTGGAATAGTATTTTTCTCTCACACCAAACTAGCCAACAGTAAATAATCCACGATCGTTTACGGCCAGCCGACCATGCTGTAATCGATGGGTATCACCGTATCAACAGGACGGAGGCGCCGGTCCAGGCTCCTCTACGAGGACTACTGCTCACGCACGCAGCACGCGACGAGGTTGTAGGATCTGCGTGCGTATACCGTACACGAGAGAGCCGAGAGTCGAATCCGGGTGGACTGCTCGCGTCGAGGCTGCAATACAAGCGGCAACAATCTCTCCCAATTGCTAATCATCACGTTGCTGTTGGACGCGACCGGAGAGGCGCGGCGAGGCATTGCACGAGCACGGCGTGCATCCCCAATTCTTCCTCGTCCTCATCCATGGCGACTGACGAAACGAGGCATGGAGTGCGTGCACGCGCGCAGACCGAGGTGACGGTGACGCGACGGTGGTAGGAGTAGTGACGAGGAGGGGATGGGATGGAAATGGGAGGCGGCCGGGGAAAGCGGAGACCGGCCGGCCGGCTAGCTGCAGACCAAGCAAGCATTCAAGCAACGACGACGACGAGCGCAGCCGAAAGGCGACGCTACGTGCAATAGACCTCCTGCTGTTGGCAGGGCAGGCATGTACAGGTAGGGAGTAGGGAGTAGTACGCTCTGCAAACCAACTCGACCACTCGCATGGAGCCAGCAGCACGAGTGGGTAATGCAGCAGGAGATGACATGGAGCAAAAAGCATTTTGATTTCCCTGTCCCCTGATCGAGCCGGGTGTTCTTGGACTGTCGTCCGTGCGCAGGAGACCAGGCGGAGTGGAGCTGGCTGGCTGCAATCGAAGCAAAGGCGAGCGTGAGTGTGTGTGACTAGGGATAAGTGCAGATCAAGCAAAGCGAAGCGGCAGTGCAGTGCCCCTGCTGCATGCTCAGAACTGTGCTGTGCTGTGTGCACTGTGGTGTGGCGGCACGATGAGTTCAGTTCAGACTTTCCACGCCGTGGGCGTGATAGCTAGGGTCGCGTTTAGTTGCTGGCCGAAGTTGGCGCTGGCCGAAGTTGGCGCCGCCGTAAAGAGATGTCACTGTAGCGCACTGTAGCGTTTTGTTTTTATTTGGTAATAATTGTCCAATCGTTGACTAATTAGGCTTAAAACATTTGTTTCGCAAAGTACAACCAAACTGTGCAATTAGTTTTTGATTTCGTCAACATTTAATACTCCATGCACGTACCGCAAGTTTGATGTGACGGAGAATCTTCTTTTCGCATAGTGTCAAAGTTGGGAATAACATGGCCTAGGGTGAGTGGCGGCCGGCCGTGGCCGCGGCGTAGGGACAGCTAGCGTTGCCGTAGCATGGTGGCTCCGCGTCAGGGTTGGGGGTTGGGACTGGTACTGGACGACTGGGTAGTCATGCTGCTGCTCAAGTGCTGACTGCCTGACTGACGACCGCTAGCGCTGAGGTGTGAGCGAGGAGTTCAGTAGTCACTTTACCCAAAATTAC